TCATGTTCTCGGCGAAGACTGTCTGCTTGAGAAACCGTGGCCAACTTCTCAAATTATATGCTGCCAACTTTGCGATTGTGTTCTTCAACGTACGGTGACCTCTTTCTATCGGTGCATTTGCCTCAGGATGGTAGGGTTCGGTGATCTTGATCGGTACACACAGTGTCTTAAGCCTGTTTAACACCTCCTGGTTAACGAATTTTGTCCCATTGTCTGCTATAAACCTGCGCACGAAGGGGTGCCTTAGGTAGAAGTCTTCCACCCAATCGGCCACTGCTTTCCCTGTCTTCCTCTTGAGGGCTACGGCTTCTACATAGCCACTAAGATTATCCCTTGCATCCAAGATGTATCTAARCCMATCCRTYGATACGGGCATAACGGCAAGATCGAGGTGAACAAGGTGTCCGGGTCCCAGTACCCGGGTGGGTCTAAGGGGCTCGTAAACCCGTACGGAGCTCCTTTCTTGACATATCAGACACGTGTGGCAGTACGTTGCGACCATGCCTGCCATTCCTGGCCAGAAATATAGGGGCACAATCTTTGCAAGTGTCCCCTTTGACGACCGGTGACCCCCAACTAGCCCATCATGCATTGCCTAAATTATGTCCAGCTGCCTAGACCTCCCACAAACGACGCGTCTAGGCATCATCCCTTCCTCTCTCTTGAACAGGTGGCCATTTCTTAGGACGTACTTTTCTACTTCCTCTCTTGCCCTGGGACTGACTTCCGTGGGTTGTTTGTTCCCTACAAGCAGCAAACCAATTTCTTTGAAAACGCCCTCATACATTTGTATGAGGAAGAATTCTCGTTCGTTCTGATCCGCACCCTGCTCCTCCCGAGTGAGGTTGACTAGGTACTGACACTCCTTCTACGCCCAGGTTTCGGCAAATGTCATCACGGCATCCCATCCCCCTTCCACGGTCATTGCCATCAGTTCCTCTCTGGCCCCTACTTCTGCTCCCCACGAGTCCTTTTCCTCTTTGCGCCTGACCGTGGTGACTGGTCCTTCCCTGAGTTCTGCAACTACTGGAGGCGCGCCTTTTTCCAAGGTCTGAATCAGCAACTGACCTGTTGTTATTGATGGATCTGTCATCTCATTATCCACCACAAGGGTCCCTCCTTCATACTCTAAGAAAGTGTCGATTGGTTCTGCATCCTCTATTCCTTCGGGCGTGATGCATACCCTTCTCAATCCATCTGCCCTGTTTCGAAGCCCCGCAATCCACTCGACCTTATAGTCGAATTGCCATATGAAGCCTATCCACCTGCCAACGGTCGGGTCTATGGGCTTGTAGTTCTTTAGGGCTCCGGCAACGTTGGTGGGATCAATCCTTAGGATAAATCGCCTTCCGAACAGGTATGCCTGAAAGGATTTAAGACAATGCAGAATCGCTAAGACCTCCTTCTTGAACTGTGAGTACCGCCGTTCTACCGAATTCAGGGTCCTACTTTCAAATCTGATTGGCCTTTCCCTGCCCTCCTCGCTTCTCTGGATCAATACTCCTCCAACTGTCAGCGGTCCCCCATCTGTTTCTAAGATGAAAGGTCATCCTACCTCGTCGTTGAAACAGGGTGCTGCTAGAGTGACCTGATCAGATGACAAGATGTCTTTCAGGGTCTGGGCTGCTGCTTCCCTATCCTCGGTCCAATCCATAGTGCCGCCTTCCCTAATCATTGCGCGGATAGGCTCTGCTATCTTTGTGAATCCTTTGATGAAGATCCTCCAGAACCCGACACACCCCTAGGAAGGCTCGTACTTCCGTCGTGGTGCGTACGGGTGTCGGCCACTGGGAGATCTTATCCGTCTTTGTTGGGTCGGGTCTCCTCCCATATGCTCTGCAACGAAATCCCAGTATGGTAACTTCTGGAACGGCCAGGATGCTCTTGGGTCTGCTTGCAGTAATATTGTAAACGAGGAATCACTGGAGTAGGTCCCTAATATCCTGCAGGTGGTCTCAGACAAACTTTCGTACGCCCGGTTCGACCTTCGTCTCGTCCTTGTACCTTGCGCCTTTTACGAGATTATCATCTATATACGTCTCACACTTTTCTGGAAACATATCCCCTGCGACGGCGAGCATCCTTCTTTGCGCCTCTGCTACCGCATTTGTAAAACCCATAGGGATCACTTGTATCTGTCGCTGCCCTACGGGGGTGTGCATTGTGGTGTACGGTCTATCCCTCGCATCGAGCGGCAACTAATCATATCCTAAGTACAAGTCTACCAGGGAGTAAATACTCCACCTCGCATGAGATTCTGCCAACAAGTCGGTCTGTGGCAGCGAGCTTGCGTCCCTAATTGTTACCGCATTGAGCTTCTGCAGGTCCTGGATCCACCTGAGCGTCTTATTGGGCTTCCTGAACACGAACCACTTGTTCGCGTAAGGGGATGCGGTGAGTTCAGCCACGAAAGAGTCGATCTTAGCTCTAAGCAGGTCAGTGACTTCCGCTGCTATCCCAAACTCATTGGCGGACTCTTTGTCATTCCAACACTCGTGTTGTACGGTGTGGATCCTGACAGGGGGAACTAGCTTTGCGTCCAATCGTCCTTTCTGATGATCGTTGAAGGCGAAAGCTAAATGAAATTCCTGACATGTTTTTCTTATCAACTGAGTTTCTTCCGCTGTTAGAAACCCTTCCACTCCTATTTTCATGGTATCTGCTACCTCCTCTGGTATGCGATGCCCTTCCATTGCTCGCCTCTCCCTTATTACCCGCAAGATTTCCTCCTCCTTCTCCATGGCCTCTTCCTTTGACGTTTCTACTAGGATCGAGACTAGCTTGGCCTTCTTGCCTACAGGTTTATACTTTCGCACACTACCTTCGGGGATCATTTTCCTAAAAAATGAACGGTCGAGATCGGCCTTGCTACCTCCAAGACGCGGGGCTGGATGCTGACTAGCTTCTTATTCAGACAGTAGCCCTTTCGAACCCCGTCCTCAAATCTGGCAAGCGTTGCGAGGTCCACCCCCACTTTGTGGTACCTGATGGCCTTAACGAGTTGTAATAAATCTAGGATTTCAAGTACTACCTCCGACGTTTCGTTCCGGCCTTCCTTTGGTTTGGGCAGGCTGGCCCCAAGTTCGACTTCCGACTCTTTTTCTGCCACCATAACTTCAAGGGACTCGTCCTCTGGCCTCCTCTTCTTTACGGGCAAGCCCATCTTGATCCATTTTTTTTTACTAAAGGCCTCCTCAATCATAATTTATACCCTTTCCCTCATTCCTTCCATTCGCGCGAATGCCCCCTTCCGTGCACTTTCTTCGAATGTTGGCGACCAGGTTGCCAATTTGCCCTTCGGAGGGTCCCCTCCAGTTCCGAGGAGTCGGAGGAGTTCCCCGCGACCAGTCACCGGGTCCTCTATGTCTACCATGTACGTGCCGTCATGCAAGTGCATGCCAATCATTTCTACATTGGCGCATCATGGCCTTCCAAGGATTATGTCATGGTCCATTTCTTTCATGACGGTCATCCATTGGAAAAACAAGATGGATTCCCGGACTCCTGCCCTGACCGCGCATTTGGTGACGTACCCAGTGAAGGGGATTTCTCCACCGGCTCCCCTGATACTCCCTACTACTTCCTTGTTTATTGTGCACTTGGTGATCGTTGCGAAATCCCGTCGTATGAGGGTAATTTCCGCGCCGCCATCCACTAGTGCATCGGTGTGGTGAGTTCCGATCTGGATTTTAAGCTTTCCTACGGGCAGTGCGTGAAAGCTAAGTTTAGTGTCTGGCGGTGCTCTCATGACTTCACCACCTTCTCGGTCCGGCAGGTTCAGACGAATGTCAGCAAAAACTTTTTCCAAATCTTCCCGCCCCCTGGGATGCTTTGGAGGTTGGAGACTCCTTGCGGCGCCTCGGCCTCTTCCGTGTCCTGCTCTTGCGGTTCCGGTGCCTCCTCTATCTCTACGCGCTTACGCGTTAGCAACTGCCTGAGTCCCTTAAGCATGGTCTGAAAAGACACCGATACCATGGTACCTAGGAGCTTACTCAAAGTGCCATCGATTTCTGGTGAAGTCGGGATTGGAATTTGATACCTGAACTTCTTTTTCGCAGCCGTAGCCTTGTCTACCGGTTCCTCCTCCCTCGACTTTCCATAGACCTTCTCTTGATCCCCGGCTTCGGTCTCTTGCTGGCCCGGGCTAGTCCCTGCTAGTTCTTCCATTACTGTATCTTGAACAAGCTTTTTTTCTGCGTCAGCTCGGCAAGTGGTGATATTCACCCTATCCTGGCTATTGCCTTCTAGGATAAAATTGGTGTGTGGTCCCCGTCCCCTTGGCTGGTCCCAGACAATCTCGGCTATCGGCTCTGCTTCCACGACAGCTATTTCTAGGTTATTCAGGAGAATGACGGTTCGCCGCATCCCTCCTGGCGAGTTCCAATGGACACGCTCCCCCCTGGGTCCGAGGATCTCGCCTTTGAGGGACCTACTGCACCTCTGCCGCTCGATATCGTGATTGAGTCTCGGACAGGCCCGTACGAAATGCCCGGTCATGGTGCAATACTTGCATTGTTCGTTGGCCGGGTCCCTCCTGCCAAACCTCCGATTTGCTACAGCTGCCGGAACCACGGCCTCTTGGGGCGGGAGGGCGGGTCTGGACACTTGTGCCTGCATTACTAACAGCGCATTTTCCATTCTTTCCATCTTGCTATCAACCTCGTGCACCCGTTCGTGTAGGCTCTCTATCCCCTTCTTGACCTTATCCCCTGTCTTCCCGGTCAGATCTACGACCTCCTCTTCCTTAAGTAGGGCTAGCGTCTCGGTAACCACTGTCTTTTCCGCCAGGTATGTTACGGTGCTGAAATCCACATCTCTCGTGTATTCAAACTTACTGGTCTGCTGGTATGCTGACAAAATCTTATCCTTATCAAACTCGGAGAACTGCCTGAGGAAGTATTTACTCATTATGCGGTCCGTTACCCCGGGAATTCGCAGATTTATTAACGTAAACGTCCTCAGGAAATCGTTGTAGGTCGTATAGTTTTTCCTCTGGACTGCGGCTAATTTTGCCTCTGTTGCCATTTTTTTTGCCTTCAGGTATTTCTTCATCATCTCATTCCTGGTCTCTTTCTAGGATCCACTGGAGGCGACGATGACCATAATGTCCCTTCCCAAACTTAGCGATACGTGCTGTCCTAGGTGCTCCATCTTTTCCTCTTCCGTCCATTTCAGTAAGGCTGCTAGGTTCTCATAGTCTATTAGAAACTCCGTAATGTTGGCCCCATCGAATGTGAGTTTCTTTTTTGCATCTGTGAGATACCCCTGGTTCTTGTTCAGTATCCTGTTGAGGGTGGCGACTACTTTCTTGAGACGGTTTTCGGAGTCACCCGCTTCCCCGGCTGCACTGGCTTCTTCCCCTTCCTTGCTTTCCCTCTGCTTCTCCCTGGTTTTCGGTATTCCTTCTAGGCTGAACCATCCTAGCACTCTCTCCCTAAGGCTCCAGAGTCCGTCACACGCCCCTGTTACTTTCGGTGTGGCGGGTAGTCTGCTAGTGCCGCTGTCAATGGCGGGTGGGGTCATAGCGTTTTCCGTTCCTTCCGCCGGGGGGTCGCTCTTGCCCTTCCCCTCATACCTAACGTCGTCTTGACCAGCCCTGCGTCCTTCACGTGACCCTGCGTCCTGGAGGTCCTCCTCATCCCCGGCCATCATCTGCTCGATAAGTCTTGCCTTAAATTTCGCGGTCCGCTTCTCTATCTCTGCCAGTTTATGACTGGTATCCAAGACTTTCGTCTTTTTAGGGGTGGCTCCTGCTGAGTTCCGAGGACTTGTTCTCATATCGTTTCCCCCTTCCCTGTTTTCCTGAGGTCCCCTTTTGCTACCCCCAGCTTTCCCCGAACTTTCTCCAATTGAGGCGTCCTTTCCGTCTTCTCGGGTCCCCTCCAGTTTGGCCGACTCTCGATCCCTGGCTGATCCCTCGTTTCGTTCCCCATTCTCATTCGTGCCTTGATTCCCTCCGCTCTGCTGGTCATCGATCCCTTCCTCCGTCGTCATTTCTTTACCTAGCCTGCACATGGGAAAAAAATTTTTTGCGAAAAGGCGCCCGATTGTTCATAACTGCCCTAGTCCCGTCCCTAAAACCCGCCTATTCCCATATTTTTGCGTCTTACATTAATCAGTACGACTCTTCTGACTTTTCTCTCCCGGAGCGTCCTAAAGGTTTTCTTCTGCCGGAGCCTTGCCGCTGCCGCTTTGGCATTTCATTACTGCCTCGCTTTGATTCTTAGGGTGGTACCTGAGCCCAGTGGTTTTCCTATCAGGGAAGGCCTTTTCGGCTTATTGGCATCTAGGTGCCCCAGAATCTTTGGAGCGGGTGGTCTTCCTAGTTCCTCCCTGACGCATCATTGGGTCGGCCGGAACTCCAACCACTGCCTCTCTTTTGTTGATGGCTGCCTACTTATCTTAGTACCCATTCTTTATTTCCCTACTTCTCCCTGACACGTTTCTCATGCTGGTCCCTTAGGCCTGCCCTGCTCATCCGGTTCCTCGAACAAGTCCGCCACCCCCGCAAGGTAATTTTCCCCCATCTCCATTTCCCTGATAATTATTGGCTCATATTTTTCAAATGACAGGTGGGGCAATCCGAATATCATAATCTCGAGCAATTCGAGTAGCTCCCAGTCCTGATTCCCCCAGAACGGCCCATGTCTGACCGACACATCGTAGAACATGCTCGTTGTTTGTGGTCGGAAGAGGTGGATCCAGACCAGGGTCGAGTCCACCAACTCCCTTGCCCTCTTGAGGCTGCCGAATACCAGGTCTACCATGAAGCGAGGTACTCGGCACCTCAGCCCGGTCATTGGGGCCTTAAACTTTCGTCAACCTCCTACCTCCACCCGAGTCCTTAACCCCACATTTCTTCTCCCTCGCACTTCCTGGCCTACCCGGTTTAATACCCTAGTAGCCCTTTGGAAGATTGGCAACAACCCATGCCCTAGTGTCAATTTCGTCCCCAACCTGTGTCATCCGAGCTCTGGCAGGTATACAGTCCCCGTCACCCTAAGATCCGTATACAGGTCGTCTCCCGGTCCCTTGTTAATCCCCATACCATCCCACAAACATTCCATCATCATGAACGCCTGTCCTCTTCCCAGGGTCACGACTCTCCATTCGGCATCCAATCCTTGAATCGCGTGGCTTGCTGGGAGCGACACCTCCCATCCACCTCTGTTTTCCGTGGGTGGTCGCGGGTGCATGGGTCGCCGCAGCATCCAGGTGCTTCTCATTGTCATTTCCGACTTAGAAGTCCCCTGCACAATTTTAAACAGCACGCAAATTTACTTATTCCCCTTGGTCTTCAATTTTCTGCCCAGACAACTCCCCGATTCCTAGTCCTGACACTTCTTTTTCCTTTTTATTTCTTTCCACTCTCCTTGGCCCTATTACCGACCTGTCCCCTCCTCCGTCTGCTCATGTAATCGGTACAGATCATCTACGTACGCCATTCCTCGGTCTATCTCCCGTCGGACGACGCCCCACAGGGCCTCACTTCCCACGACCGGAACCCTCGACCTGGTACTAAACACAGCACGCAGGATGCGCAACACCTCGTACTTCTGCTCTCCGCTGAACGGCCCCATTTCTAAGAAGGCCCGGTAGTATTCTCGATGTACCATCGCTTCTTCATATGTCAGGCTTGCGAGATCGGCTATTGCTTGTCTAACAAGTTCCAAGCGGCCCAGTTTTTCCAGCAAGAAGGGTGGAAGCCTCATTCGTACACTTTCACTAGGCAATTCAAAACTCCCAACCATGGCTACCCTAAGGTCCGTTGTTACATCGTCAACCCCCGGATCTGCGAACTCAAATCCCGCTTGCCATACTAACTGCGATGCCCCTGCAAACATGCTCAACGGGTCTTCTCCTGATGCCAGCCGAACTCCGAACTCCCTCCATCCGTTTTCCGACACATACAACCGCCCCTCTGCGCGCACGTGCCCCCGTGGGTCTGGGTTCCATTCCCCATTCTCGGCCGCACGCCACTCAACTTTCGTCACCAAGTAAACCATATTTTTCGCAAGCTCGATCCCGACCCAATCCGCCACCTGGTGCCAGCCTTCACTTGCCGCCGGCAAGCTAACCTCTACTTCACCCGGTACTTCCCTAGGCGGTTCAATGCCCAAGGGGCGTTCCTCAAGGAACGTTCTTCTTCGCGCCATCGCACACTCGCCTCTGTTCTCCTGGCCCGTGATCCGCACTGATCCCTACAATGGTCAGACATCCCATTCCCTTATCTTAGCAATTTTTCCCATATTCGCCTGGCCCCACGGCTTTCCGGCGCTTAATCGAACCACAGTACCTCGAACAGTTTGAACACATCATCCACATAACAAGGTGTTGCTGCTACCTCACGGCAGATTATGGCCTCCCTAGTTTCCGGGGCCACCTTGTGTCGGCCATTCCTTTCAATGTCCAAAATGATAAGGACCTCCCAAACTCTGTCGCCGTGGAAGGGTCCGTATTTCAAGGATGTCCTATAGAATTCCCCTGCCAGCCAAGTGCAATTCACATGTATTCGCTCCATCGTGCCAGCTACCTCTGTTACATGATAAAACCCCCCAAACCAGTCTGCCACGAATTCGGGTACCCAGGTCTTGATTCGGGCGCCGGGTGGTTTAAATTCCTTCCATCCTCCCATCACGACTCTACTGCTGACCGTATTCCACCCTTTATTAGCAAAACTTTCCCCCGCCTGCCGAGCCCTTGCCTCAGCGTCCCCTAAAAGCCACATCGGGTTCTGCCCTGCAGCGAGCGTCGTGCAGAACAGGTATCAGCCCTGTTCCGAGAGAACAATCGTCCCAGCTGATTCCACCCTTCCTTCCGCAATCTCCTCCCATCCTTCCTCTTCCCTCAACGGATTCCAGATACGCTCTATCCAAAGGTACGATAGTTCCGACACAATCTCATMCCCCCGCCAATCACATGTGGTCCCTTTCCATTCATTACTTGGCGGTATTGACATCTCTACTCCCCTTCCAGTTCGTCTTGGTTCCCATGTGCAGTCCCACAATTCGAGTTCCCGAGCCATCGTTCCCTACCTGCACATAGCCGACAGGTAAGCCCCCCTCAGAAGTCTCAATCCTCTATCTCGTCCCCGTCCTCCTCATCACTGAAATCCTCCTCCTCGTCTAGGAATATCTCTTTCACCCCTTCCAAGAAGGTTTCCCCTGCTGCCACGTTTCGGTAAACTATCTGCCAATGCACCAGGCTGGAAACAAAGATTTCATCCGCGCTGAGGAGGTTTAACACCTCAGTCAATTCTTCCGCCCAGTTTCCTTCGAACGACCCTGCTTCCACTGATAATTTAAAGAAGTCCTGCCTAGCACCTTGGTACAACCTCAGGTGCGACCGGCATATCCGCTCCAATCTACCCCTGGTCCCAAAGACTGCATCCACCAGAAACGGGGGTAGCACGCATCTCATTGTCCTAAGGGGGCGTCTCATATTTTTTCGGTCCCCGAGTTCCACTCGCACCTCCATCCTCTTCATTTCCATTTCTGCCCGCTGACATGCAGCCCACACCACCTCCCGTTCCACTTGCCTAAACAGTTGATCCAGTGTCGTGCCCAATACTAGTCCCACTACCCTTGCGTTTTCCATTTCTTGAGACAGGTAGATCCACCCTCGGGCCTCCACCGTTCCCCGGAATTCTAGGTCCATCAAGCTGGGTGAGAGTCTTGTCAGGCTGAACTTGGTCCAGATTGTCTCTATCCAGAGGAACGCGTCCTTCTTGTCCAGCATCACGGTTTCATAGGCTGGTTCTAGGTCGGTCCACGTCCCTTCTTCCGGGAGAACAACAGATACCCCATCCCTTACCTCTATAGGCATTTCCGGACCACTAGAGTAAACAGGAGGCGACAACCATTGCGCCATCTTGTTTTCCCGGCGCGTACCCTGTTTTCCACATGAGAGCACCACACGGCCCCCTCATGGTCAGATGGTTTGCTTTTTCCTTTCCCAAATGAGAGTTGTTTTCAGACCCCTCATCCGGGTCTCCCTAACTTTTCTTATCCAATTCCCAAGTGTCATTGTCCCACCGTACCCCTAATCGATCGCCAGTGACCCGCATTCCTTCTTCTTGGTTCCATCTTCTTCCGACTCTTATCCATCCTCTTCCTCATGTTCTCTCACTCGTGTTGATTTAGGCAGAGGTTGAGAATAGACTAGGGGCCCGGTCCCCATCCAACATTCACCAGACAAACTTTACAGAGGGAGGCACAAAAGGCAATACTCAGGCAAACGTCGCACACAGGTCGGTCATCTCCTCACCGACCTCTTCCCCGGAAATCGTCTCTCCACTGTTACTATCGGCAGGGCTTTACCCCATATCTCAAGTACAACTCAACCGTCGCGAGCGTGGTACCCAGGTCTCGGCAAGGCATTCGCCCTTTCCTCCTTACCCAGAATACCCCATCCCGACTTGCCGCTCGTGTACCCACCGTTAATCTCGGGAATCACCCCGCACATCTCGGTAGGGCCATTGGACCCAGCCATCCAGGCATTCACTTCTGTTGGTCCGATAGGGAACAACTTTTTCCAAGCCATGCTACGAGAAGCTTTTAATCGCCTCTGAGGCTCCTTCCTTGCCCCATATGCGGTGGTCCCCCTGCCGTCTGTCGACAAGCAGCCGCCCCGCCTGAAGAGGTTTCACACCCCGCCTAGGCAAGGTCATCCAGCCATGCTCGGACCGCTCGGGTGAGAATGCTACTAATCAGCCGACGGGACCAACCTTTGCCTGACAGTCCGGTGGCCCGACCCCCACATACGGAACACAGTGAACTTCAAAGAGGACGACCGGTTCACATCCCGCACCAGCCGGCGCAAACCAATCCTTTCCTTCCGAATGGCAGGACGCTCGAAATCCCAATCATGCAATCACAAGTCCCTAATGGGACATACATAACACAAGTGTCTTTCCCTTGGTGCACCCGGCGCTTCCTACCCATTGCTCACAGGTTTTCACTCAGGACAGTGTGTGTCATTCACCCCTAAATTTCATACATAGTGCCTGGTTCTTTTCGTGAGCATCTTCAAAGGTGAGCTAGTTTTCTTGGAGTCTAGCAACTCCCTTTTTTCCCTTATCTTTGTTTGTGTGTCCGTTCATAGGGCAGGATTGTTCCTTCTCGATTACCGTTTGTGTTCATATGAGGTTCCTTCAAGCATTAAGTGTGGTGCACGGAGCCCGTTGGGCTCCGAAGAGGAGAGAAGGCTCCCAGATCGGTCGGATCGCTCCGCCGCGGGATTTTCATTGGCACCCGGACTAGCCCGGAATCCCAACCGCCTGCCAGGTAACCGGAGCCCTTCTTTCGCACGAAGAGGAAGGGCCGACCTGCGGCTTGCCCAAGGCTTCCCTGGCCTGACAAACATTAGTCCAAGGGAAGGAGGACTAGAGTCATCTCCAACGGAGATGGCTGAGCAAAAGTGCAAGCATGCATGTTCTTCCTCCAGGTCTGGCATTGTCATGCGCCCAACCACCCTCAAATATGATTCTCTCAAAGGATAGAGCATACACAAGTCCATATTCCTTATCTTTATGTTTGTGTTCTCGGTCATGCGTCGGGCACCCCCCTCGAGACCGTATGGGTCAGTTTAACCCAATACCCGGCACCTCCACCATTTTTGTAGGGGCCGTACCCTGAAGGACTTTCAAGCCTCGGTCGACCCCACTGCGGGTCCCACTTGGCTCGACCCGCTCACACTCACGCTCAGGGCGCGGGCCGTTCGTCCCAGGGGCACCCCCACCTAGTGCTACGAGATGGATGGGGATGGGCCTTTTGCCAGAGGGCTTTACATTGGGGGATGTAGGTCCACTCTCGCGTCAAGATGGTAGCTCTTTGGACACTCGTGGCGTTTTTTCGATTCGGTTAAGTCTGACCAGGCAATTGCTCCTTCCAATACGCAAGCAGTCCAGGGGGTTCATTGAGAGTTTGTCTTCTTATCAAGCGCAGGCCAAGCGTCATTCATTGGGCCACGCACCTCTTCACTAGCTTAGCGGCTCGGGGCAGCCCTGACGACATCCTTGGGGTAAGGCGGCGTCACCCGAACCCCTAGCCGCTATATATTTTTTGCGAGAGCCACTGGCATCGCATGACCTATCCAAGACCGCCCTTAGTCTTTTCAGGGGTCACATTGCGCATGGCAGAGACTTTCCGTGCAATCTTCACACAAACCACGTTCATTCATCAACCATCCGCCCAAGCGCCCGGCCTCAACTCATCCCACATCCATTGCTTAAGCCAGATCCCAGCCAATCTCCCATCCTAATCCTCATCCGCGGGTCCAGCCCCGTCCAAATCGTCTCTAGCTACTCACCTGCGCAAGACCATACAATACAGATGACCAAGCACAGTCCCCATTGGGGTCAACACATCGGCCCTTCCCGCAAGCCTAAGTTTCCTTTGCCCTTCCATGATCCCTCGTTTTGCCCCTTCCTTCCCTCACGCAAACCATGCTGCCACCTTAGTCATGCAGTCGGGGAGATTTTCACAAATGTTCCCAATAGCCTCGTATCCTTTCCTTCTCGGTGGCACAAGGGACCGACTGCCCTTCCCTTGCCCTTGCTTTCCACCAAGTGAGGACCAAGTTTCTTCTCGTTCGTTCCCTGGCAATGTAACAGGTGAGGGTGGAGGTTAGTCACATGCCATGGAGGGGAAGAGGTGACGGAAGGGTTAAGGGCTAAAGGAGTTTGAAGGAATGGGGGAAGACGGAGGGAGAGGGAGAGGAGAAAGAGAGAGAGAGAGAGAGAGAGAGAGAGAG